TACCTACTCCAGACTCTCTCACTCTCCATGGAGAGGTCTATTACACTCTCACTTTGGCTGCTTACCAGAATCACTTCGGTAGACTACCAACGTTTTCAGATTGTTTAGACTATGCACCATTACTTCAGTTGTGAAGTACAAATTACAAATGATTGTTGTACAGGAATTTTAATTATTGGATTATGAGGGATTACTTGAATTGTTTTCAACACTGAAAATGTAGTGTTTGAAATTAGAATCCTTGGGTTGGACTGAATGCAATGTAGAATTATATTGAATTTTTTAGAATAGAGAGATATATTGAGACCCTTATTTTGACCCTTGTGATCTCTGATCCCCATGACCCTTATTTCGACCTTCAATCTGACTTTTGTGATCCTTAATTTGATCCTTGTGACACATTTAAACCCATAATCTGACCCTTGCGACTCTTTATCTGACCCTTATGACCATTATAGCCCTTAATCTAACCCTTGTGACCCTTATTTTGGCCCTCATGACCCTTACCCTGAACCTTGTGGCCATTATTTTGACCCTCATGGCCCTGATTTAGCCCTCATAACCCTCATACTGACCTTCATGACCCTTGTAACCTTTAATTTCGAGTCTTAATTTCGAGTACCAAATTTTTATTACCAAAAGTCGATTTGAATTTTTATAATATAGAGAGATAATAAAACACGTGGAAAATTACAATTTTATATATGAGTCTAGTAAGTGTTGCTAATAAATTAGCAATTTGTTTCCGAATTGGTTCTCTTTTTTGAAATTTTCATTTCATTATTCTCGTAATTTGTGCTTATACAAAGTTTCCATTCGGAAGCAAAAACATCTCATTTATTTTTCCAAATATTTGATGCATTTTTTCCCAACGGTCGACCATGTTGCATGAAAAAACTAAAATATCCTGAAATGCTCGTCTTAATACTTAATTTGACAAACTAAAAACAACTCAAACTTGGGGCCGCAAACGTCCCAAAAAGGGGACAAAAGTTTCTCAATTTCAGGCACTAGTTTTTCTAGTGCAGTCCACACGAAAATTGCAGCGATGCCAGTGGCTATGGTACACTCATCAGACCAATCCCTACAGAGAAACCACAGAGTTGCGGTCCCTCCGCTTAACCAACCGATAAGCCCCCCGGTATATTTCGACTGACCCATCCGCGGAAAATAATTAACCTCACGGCGTGCGCCAGCCGAGAGCTTTCAGCAGAGTTACAGCCGCTGTTTCGTTAGCTCGTACGGATGTCAAATGGCCTTTTGACGATGATGCATTAATATTATTAGTGACTTGTATTCACTCATTGTCTCGTTTTGCATTGTCGGAGTTACTATTGACACGGGGGCCATTCTGGTGCTAGTGATTCTGGGTATTGGAGTTTGCATTGAGCGAGTCGTGTTGGCTTTGGGAAGTTGAGAGAATGTGTCCTTCATTTCGACATTTCCTAATAAGACAAGGGTACTTCATTTTTATTTTTACAACAAAGGTATCTCAGAATTCCGAATTAAACTCATGTATCTCAATTTTCCGGGGAAAACTCATGTAACTCAGCCGAAATAAAAAAATTATCTCAGAAACTAATAAAATACAATGCATGTGGTACTCATTTTAATATGTACACTGTTAAAAAAATTTCACTGAAGTTTCCAGACTTTAGTCTTGAAATATGAAACAAGTGACGGTTTCATTGAAATTTCAGGGAATTTTACCATTGAAAATTCGCGGTTTTCGCGGAAAATTCATAGAAATTTTCAATTTCAGTTGAATTATTCCATGAAAATTAATGGAAATTAGGAAAGTTCAAGCAAAAATGTCCTTGAATTTTCAATTTCTTAAATTTCAGAGCAATTTCTTACTGAATTATCATGTTTACATTGAAAATTCATGGAAATTTCGGAATCTTCAAGGTTCTTCCATTGAAAAATCAGGAATTTCCTTGAATGTTCAGGGAAACTTGAAGTTTCATAGACTTTTTTCCATTAAATTGAATTCAGTGTTATTTTCTGGAAAATGCAGTTAAATTTTTTTAACAGTTTATGTCTTCTCTTGCCTTGTTTCCCTTGCGCTCTGGCGACATCACTAATTAGGCACACGAGAACTCATATCTCCTAACAAAATAATCCATTTGCTTTTTGTTCTTCCAAATAGCATCGGTGACTGATTTTTATTATTCATAAGCCGGTTTACCTGCGCCCAAAAAATCTATAAATAGGAAAACAATTTTCCTACCGCAATAAAATGCAACACAATGTGGGAAAGTTTTGCTGGTAACACCATTTGTACTATATCGGCAAGCGTGTTTCGCATAGCGATGCTGCCAAGGTATGGTAGCAAGTGGTACTAATCTGTTGGCTCATGTGTGTCTCGGCAGGTTTCCCAGCGGGGATCGAAGGCCCGCAGTCTCTGAAATATTTAGTAGTGCGGGCCAGGCCTCCCAGCCCTTCCTCCTGCCACCAAGTCGATGGTGACTGCGGTGTCGCACGGTCGTTAGCCCTTCATTTTCTCTTTTATTTCGGGGGGAAAACGTCGACGTAGTCTATACCTGGGCGGTTGCTTGCGCAATTTTAATGTCATTACAGCTTTTAAAATTAATATGTATAGAGGGGGAAATGAAAATTTGGGCGGGGACAGGTCACTGGGGAGTGGAGCTCGAATGAAGGACGTGGGAGACTATCAAAAATTTTCGATGGAACTTTCCGGAAATTTACTCACATTAGACTGAGAGAAAAACAACAGAGTTCTCAAGCAAGTCATACTCGCGCCAGAAAAATCGTTTGTTAAAAATTATCAAGAAAGGATTTTTCTGTGCCAAACATACGAAGCGTGCGCCGAGACTTTTTTTTAATTTTTATTGCAAAAGTAGATTTAGGCTTTTCAACAAAAATTTTATTCTTTGTGCAAGCGAGAAATGTAATTGCTAGCACTTCTTCGTTATTCGATGCTCCCACACGCATTTTGCTCCTGGCAAATGCTCGTTTTATATGAAACGGGGGATAGTAGTTTGGTGTTTCGGCTATTAAATAATTACAGACAAATTACATTTTTAAATGAAATAATAATAATGATATGACAGCAATTTTGTCACTCAGGGAAAAAATATTTCTTGATAAATTTCCCTCTATAAAAGAGTTTTCGAGGAATATCTCCTAATCTAAGGGAGATAGCAAAATTTTCGTAATGACCTTTTTTATAACCCTCAATTCGCTCTGTAAAAAAGGTTATAACAAAAATTTTGCTATCTCCCTTAAATTTCGAGATATTCATTGAAAACTGGTCAATAGTCAAAATCGACTTCAACCGTTTTACCGCTTCGCTACTGAAATTGCCGTCACATTCAGTCAATTTTCCCAGGCGACGGAGAGAAATTCACCATTCGTCTAGCACTTTTCCCCCGACATAGGGTGAAAAATTACTGAAAATCGAGTTCGCTCCACGATCACTTGGCTTGTTCGGTAATTTTTCTGCAACTTTTTTCTCCTTACAAAAATGACAAGCCAACTCTCCATGAAATGTCAATATATCCCCTCCCGCGTTGTCGAACAACTATGAGACCTGTACTCATCACTCCATTACCCCCCCCCCCATCGTTTTAATACTCACTGTCGTTTCATCACATTTTCCTGCTCCCCCTGCTTCTCTCCACGTACCTTACATCCCGCGGGACGAATAATTACCCGCGAGAGGGCAAACCGCATTGAATATTTCAGCCTGGATGGCTGCTGCAAAAATATAAAACGAACACCAACCAGGTATAGCCCGGGGACCAGCCCCACCGAGGCGCTAGTGGGGGCTAAATGTGGAAGGGGAATGAGATGGTAAAAGTGGTTTCGTTCGGTTGGGTTTCGAGGCCTTCGGGCTACGGCCAGGGATTAGGAGAAAAGTTATGTCAGGCATTTTGCGGCCAGCTTTGCATAAGTCTACTCACTCCCTCCTACTCCTCACTCTTTCTATCTCGTTTCTTCTTACTCTCATCCACTTGTATTACCCACCACTGTCTCTCCCTCGCTCACACTCGTCGGCTTACTTTGAACACCCCTGAATCCTCTCTCGCTCCCCCGACCAACCCCTCACTAAACGTTGCGGGCGTTAACTCAACCCACTGGCCGTAACCCACGCCACCTTGCTGGCTTAACACTGATTATTCGGACGCTAATTTGCAAATAAGAGGCGACTGGTGTAGTCACCGTGGGAGGAAGTGATCAAAAGTTTGCATTTCGAGGTGTCTCGTTGCCCCCTCGTGTTTTCACTTTCACATGCACCACAAATGGATTGTTTAAGGGGAGGGAGAGGGGGTTTTATTGGAGGGGGCGTGGGAATCTGGGGGTTGTTAATTGTTTCATGAGTCATTAAGGGTGGGAAGGGGTTTTTATTTCAGTAGCGAAGTGGTCAAACGGCTCAAGTCGATTTCGGCTATTGGCCAACTTTCAATGAATATCTCGCAGTCTAAGGGAAATTTTTCTCATAATCTTTTTAGTCGCACTCAATTCGCTCTACAAAAAAAGTTTATGAAAATTTCGCTGTCCCCCTTAAATTTGGAAATATTTCTGGAAAACTCAACTAAAGATCAAATTGACTTAAACCGGTTGACCCCTTCGCTACTGATTTCTTTGTGCGCGGAAATTTGATCGCAGTGGGTTTGGAGGGATCTGGGATTTTGCAGGGTTTGGGGAACAATTTTAATGTATTTTTGATAAATATTATCCTAATGTTCTATAAAAGCGTATCATGAGTCATCGTTTACTCATTTCTATCCAGAAATTTAGTAAAGATTAATATATGATGATCAAATTTTATTCTACATTAGCGAAATTTTATCGATACGATAATTGCACGATAATTTTGATCACTTATGATATGACCCTCATGATCCTCATGACCAATATATACCTCCCAACCGTCATCAATAGATGGAACATATAAAATTGTGACGCTGATCGCCCTTTCCCAATTTCACAATATCGATAACACATAATTGACGCATGATTTTCGATAATTGCAGAATGCCTAGAGGACAAACAAATTGGTCGGATGAGGCGGGCAATTCAAACAGTATATCGAGGCAGAGTAGATCACCCAGACAAGCCTCACCCAGTTCAAGAACGTGCACACCTCAGCACGATGACTCGCACCATCCGCCCTCCTGCAATGGCTTCCGATTCGGTGTCTACGGCTGGCGGAAGAGATGTTTGTACTCTCTAGTGCTTGGGCTCATGATTATGGTTGTACTCAATCTCGCATTGACTCTGTGGCTCCTCAAAGTCATGGAATTCAGTTCTGTGAGTAATTATCCATTTGGTAATTAGTTACGACCATTAATTCATTGAATTGGGGCTCGAGGGAAACGAAAGGTGAATTTCAACGAGAAAATTTCAACGAATTTGTAGAAAAATGCGGCTAGAGGGGGAATTGTTTTGAGAAAAATCCGGCGATGGGAAGATGAGAGGCTTGCGCAGGGGATGAACCAAGTGGTCTTTGTCTAGGCTTTGGACAAGGAGCTCAAACTTTTCGACAGCCATTAGAGGTGACTTCTGTGTTGCGGCTTAAAATTAGTTTCGGTCTAGTTACTAGCGCGGATAACAGGCTGGACCGCTGGACCTCTTCAGATATGTTATGCCGAGAGGCTTGAGAATTGAAGGAGATGGCCGGGACAAGTCGCACTGAAACGTAATCGAGTAAAACAAAACTAGTTGATTCTCCACATCTTGTTAAATCTGTAATTATGTTGAGAATTAGGGAATTTACGCAGACAAACAAGCAGGGGCTTGAGCCTATCCGACAGAAGACATGTGACCGTTACTTTTTGCGTCATTAGTCGTATCTCGGAATCTAAGGGAGATTTCAAAATTTTTGTTATAACCTTTTTTGTAGAGCCCATTGAGAGTTACAATAAATGTAATTACAAAAATTTCGCTATCTCCCTTAGATTGGGAAATATTCCTCAAAAACTCCACTGAGAGATAAGTCGACTTAAACCGTTTTATCACTTCGCTACGGAATTAGAATATGTGATTCTCACCGGTCGTATTGATTTTTGCAATGAAAATAATTATAAACAATTGTCTGAAAATATAAATATCGAAACTTCAGCAGCCCTCAGTCTTCTTTCTTTTTCTTGACAGGAAAAAGGGCATAATGAAAGCGCATGAATTGAAAGGATACAAAATTGGAATAATTTTCCATTTTCCTCTAAAATCATGATGAAGACATTTAAGAGCCCGCGTAGGATTAATCCAGAATACCCTCATCCATCAATAAACCGGAAATGTGACTCGGATGGTAATTCATCCGTATTTTTGTCAACAGTAAATTCGATATCCCCCGTAATAGCCGTGGAGTACGTCATCGAAATATCGCCACATTGCAATATCAATTTGTGACATGGTATCGAGAATTCTGGAGAAAAAAAATCAATAGACCGCGCTATATCCTTCGCTCCTCCCCCGCCATTTTCACATGACACTCAATTGTTTGATATTTGGAAATTGAGATGGATGTTGGAGAAGTGGGCCAGTCGCTACTCAGCCTCGCGAGGTCATTCACAAATTTGGAGATGCTCCATTTGCACGTGACATTTGACCCGACGAATTTGGCCGCTGGCGAATCGATTGTAGTGACGTTGACGTACGGTGGAAAACACCTTATGACGGAGGCAAGACGTAATTGTTGGTTAAATATACATTTCCGAGGAATTTTTAACGACTTTGATAAGGAATAATTCGATAAAACAGTATAAACTTTCAGAAAAGGCCAATACCGACAGTTCTCGACAGCTGAACAATTTTCGCTTTCAATTATTGATTTATAATTCTAAATTCATTTACAGTGACAGGAAATGAATTATAAATATTTTGCGGAAGAAATTGGTTTTGCGATATTGTGAATCCTAGCGGCAGATGATGAAAGTTTCGTGAAGTTGTTTTGTATCGACCTTTATTTTTATTGTGTCATCAATTCATGTTATTCAACGATCATTTTTATAGATCAAAAATACATGAGTTGTGTGAAGTTAGTTGGTTAAAAACACAAATTATTCCATGCGCCTTAATTGTCAATTTTCTCATGTTTATCATCAGCAAAATTCAGCAATTCTTTCTTCTACTTCTAGGGATCATATGAAGGTTTCATAACTTGTTTCTCTATGTATCATTCATCTTTATAATGCATTTATGAGTGTGTGAAATTTGATACATTTGAAATTGGAATAAAGAAAAGCAAGCTGTCCTCACAAGTAAATGAGTACGATACAGCGACTAAGTCCACCAGAAATTTTCTAGTCCTTTATCAAAAAATTGCCGAACGTCTATAAAAACTCCCCCCTCTCCGCATGGAATGGCCTTCAGATAACTCGGTGACTTGTTCGCTCCCGTCATTGTCGAGTAGCTCTTGGTGTTATCGAATTTATACGAAAATCGAGAGCAACTCCGGGCCGATCCACGTCCAATGATCCCTCGATGGAGAGCTAAATTCGACGGGAATTGAGTATCAATCCGTAAGTGAGGAGTCTGCAAGGCTGTCAGTATCACGGAAAATATCCCGTGGGAAATGTAAGGTCTCTAGTACCTTTTTTTTCATCCAAGCTCCCTATTTCTTCCTTCACGTTCGGGGAAAAGTCCCTCTTTCTCTTCTATTCTCATCATTTCTGTTCTTCAACACTATTTTCACCAGATTCTAGCCTGAAAAATTGACAAAATTGGAAATTTCAACATTTCCCATATCAAAATCCATAAATTAAACGCGAAAATTCAGTAGCGAAGCGGTAAAAAGGTTTAAGTCGATTTTGACTTTTAATTTTCAATGAATATCTCGAAATCTAAGGCAGATAGCAAAATTTTTGTTACGACCTTTTTTGCAGCTCTTAATTCGTTCTCCAAAAAAGCTCGTAATGAAAATTTCGCCATCTCTCTTAGATTCGGAGATATTTATCGAAAACTCAGCTGAGGGCGAAGTCGACTTGAATTGTTTCGTTACTGAATTTAAAAAAAGACCCGTTTTGCCCCGCTAGTTGACATAATATGGCGAAAATGAATTATGAAGAACAGATAGTTTCTTCTCTGGAGCCAGTAAACTACTGGGGCAAAGCAAATAATTTTTTATTTTCAATTTTCTGATGTTTTATGGAAAAACTCGAGATTTTTATTTTTTTTTTCAAGTTTTTGAAACTGAAAAATGAGGAATATTGCGGGATTCGATTCATTCGATGAAAGATAAGAATATCTGGAGAGATAAAATCCTGAGTTAAAACTTATACAATACTTCAAGAGACGTCTCATAAATCGTAACAACGGACATTCTCAATCTTTTCGCGTTATATGTTCGAAGTTTCACGAGTGGTAAAAAAAAATATGGTTGGACACTTAGCATATATGTGAAAATATTTTATGCCCCAACTCTCCATCCAGCGTTATCCATCATTCATATTCGATGAGTTGCCGTTGCCAGCGATCTTTGGGAGTTACTTCGACGTCTCCATTCTTCTCCACTTTCTTGTTGAGTTCGCTATCTAGAGTGGGAGATTGCAAGTTCCCCGTCGTTTATTGAATTTTTAATTGAATTGTTAGATATTTAACAGGGACTTTAAAAAATTTGCTGAGTCTGCGGTTGAGCTGTTGTGAATTTTCAAGGCTTCGATGATTTTTTGAGAGGGAAAAGCATTTTCAATCAATTTGACGTCATCTTGAATTTGTGAAGCCATTTCAAGTTATTTTTACTATAAATAATTTTTCACACACAATAAAATACGAAAAATTTACAATACAACAGTAAAACACAACAATACTGAATTAGCAGAATTGAGGCTTGAAAAAACGTTACACTGGATTTTTTTAAAGTGGATACCTGAACACGTACGAAAAAATTGTATAAAAATTTTCTATACGGATTGCGTGTAGAAATTCTATAGGATTTTCGTATATGATATTCGAATATTTCCACACGAATATTTTCTATACATAAATTTTTACATTTTTACATTTTTACATAAATTTTTGTTTTGTTAGAGAAATGTCGCAACTCCATACGAAATTTTTTTATAAATGTGGCAGTGGATCGCATAGAATCCAACCTATAAAAATTCTATAGAAATTCTATACGCAATCCCATTTTTTCATACGTGAAGTTGCTAGTGATGCCACGAGACACTTTACGAGACATCACGAGACAACACTTCGGAGGGATTGTCCCGGTCTCAGTGAACGCGGAAATTTTTGATCTCGCCTCAGTCTCGAAATACGCAGTATCGACTTCTGTCGTGATGCCACCGATACAATTCACCTCACTTTGGTTTCCGGTTTTTCGCGTTTTTTATATGTAGAAAATCGAGACGAGACAAAGCGCGACAAAAGCCGAGCTTTTGCCTTGAAAATGTGAAAAACGTGAGACCGGGATGACATAAATTAACTCGGATTCATCTCGAGAGGAGTCGATACTGCGTATTTCGACGACGAGACCAAAGATTTCCATGCTCATTGAGACCGAGACTTCTCCAAAGTATTGTCTCGTAAACTGTCTCGCGGCACACAAGAAGTTCCCCTGAACTCATCAAATAAATTCCCAAAATCAAATAAACTCAATGGCACTCGCCAAATCACGTAAAATCGACTTCATCTTGACCCTTCACACCCACCAACAACAACTCGCCCAGAATCTTCAAATGCTTCTCTCCTAAACGTACCCCATGAATCGTCATTCTCAAGATGCAGTTCCACCCGACTAGAGGTTATACCGGACAACATGGTATATTGGCACTAACAGTTTACATACATGGCCCATACCGACCAGATACCCCCCCCCCCCCCCCCCCCCC